CCTTCCTTCCTTCCTTCCTTCCTTCCTTCCTTCCTTCCTTCCTTCCTTCCTTCCTTCCTTCCTTCCTTCCTTCCTTTCTCCTCTCCTCTCCTTCTGTCTCTCCCCCTACATCTCTCTTTCATACTGGTTATAAACCTAGGGTCTCCCTCATACAAAGTGGTTTACCACTAAAACTCTACCCCCTCCTTTTGACATTTAGACATTGTCTCATTAAGTTGTTTAAGCTGTCCTTGAGTTCACTCTATAGCTTAGACAGGCCTTGGATTTGTAACCCCCCCCCCGCCTCTGCCTCCTCAAGTAGCTGAGAACACAGACATGTATCACCAAACCTGACTTAACATTAATTTTTTTTATTCTAAAAAGAAGGTGTGTTCCATAGAAAAAACACCTGGCACTTATAAACAGAATGTGTTGATGAGAAGTTAGTGGCCAGCATGAAGAACTGCAAAATGAATTCATAAGTTCAGTTCAACTATAAATATTTTTAATTATTTTGGTGTGTATGTGTGTGCACATACTCCATGACATATGGGCAGAAGTCACAGGACAACAGGAAGCCTGTGTATTTGAATAAAAATGATCCCCATAGGCCCATAGCAAGTTACACTACTAGGAAATATGGTCTCTTGGAGTAGGTATGGCCTTGTTGGAAGAAGTGTATCACTAGAGGGTGGGCTTTAGTTTTAAGAAGCTCAAGCCAGGCCTAGAGACTTTCTGACTCTTCCTGCTGCCCGCTGATCTAGAGGTAGAACTCTAAGCTACCTCTCCAGCACCATCTCTGCCTATGTGCCCCCATGCTTCTCTCCATGATATCAATGGACTAAACCTCTGAACTGTAAGCCAGCCCCAATTAAATACTTTCCTTAATAAAGGAGTTGTCATGGTCACGGTGTCTCTTCACTGCAATAAGACCCTAACTATGACACTTCCCTTCTATCTAGTGAGTCCTGGGAATAAATTCTGGTCTCAGGCTTGGTGACAAATGTGTTTACCCACTGAACCATCTCTTTGGTCTATTATAATTTTTAATTTAAATATGCAGTGGGCATACTATACAAATTATTTGCTGTTTGTTTGAAACTCAAACTTACTTGTGTGCCTGTATTTTTAATGGTTAAAGATGACATTTCCACCAAGATAGAACATAGGGTTCTAGAGATATAATTGTTGAATTAAGTAGAAAACTATTGGGCTGGAGAGATGGCTCAGCGGTTAAGAGCACTGACTGCTCTTCCAGAGCTCCTGAGTTCAATTCCCAGCAACCACATGGTGGCTCACAACCATCTGTAATGAGATTGGATGCCCTCTTCTGGTGTGTCTGAAGACAGCTACAGTGTACTCATAAATAAAATAAATAAATAAATCTTAAAAAAAAAGTAGAAAACTATTTAGTGAATACTGTCTACATCCCAGGCAAAGTGCTGTGCCAAAGTGGAATCCCAAATGAGCAGAACATGGTTTCTGCCACCAATTCCTAGGCCAGTGAAGGAAGAAATAGAAAGAAACTTGGGTGATATTTTCTGAATCCATTAAGATCAAGTATAGTATCTGAATTTTTTTCCTGTTATTCCAATAAATTCTCCTGGTCACTAAGGTTGTTCTAGTGTCAAATGAGAGTTTAAGATATGTGCCCAGGTTTTAAAGCGCCCAAGAAGTAAGCTCAGGCTAACATTCTGGCCTGCCTGGGTATTATTTTTTATTGCTATGACAAAATACATGAGATGAACAACATAAAGGATTTCTTTGGGTTCACGGTATCAGAAGCTTTAATGCAGAGTCAGCTTGTTCCACTTCTGTGGCATGGAGAGGCAGCATGGCACACCATGCTGGCAGAACTGTGGCAGGGAACAAATAGTTCAAGTCGTAGTGTCCAGTACACTGAAAGAGAAAGGGGCCAGGGAAAGAGATTCCTTTCAAAAACACCTTCCCCTACCCCTTAACCCCACCTCCAACAAGACCTGCCTACTTTCACCAACCAGGACCATCTCTTAATAATCCACCCAATATTAGCTCATCAGTGAATTAACACATTGACCAAATCAGGAGCCTACTGATCCAGTCATCTCTCAATAATACAGTCCACCAGCTAGGGGGGAAGGAAGTACGCTTTCAACATCTGAGCCTCTTAGGGGATATTTCTTATACTATCTGTGAGTTTGACTCTAGAACCACATTGTTTCCCATGTAAAGGTATTTTCTGTAGGCTTACATACAAATGATTACTTCATCCATCAACAGAGATGTCATTATCAGCTTTTAGGTACAAATCCCATGACTTCATCCTAAAAGGCAGAGGTGGTGGTTACCATAAGGAAGACCTTGGACTAGGGTTATGTGGGACCACTGTTGGGAAGATACAACACTTCCGTGGACCAACTCAATCCCTCTCTTACAGCCTGGTGATCTTCCTCTTGGCAAATCCCATTTTCCCCACCACTCTCTGCTTAATCATACATTTTATGCTGTCAGGACTTTAACTTGTGGGCAGCCAACATAGTTTTATAATAGCAGAATTTATCTTAGGCTCTTAGCTTCAAATAGATTTTTACCAAAAAGCTAAGTATTCCATAATGACTCGTTGATCTTTGTTTTATTTTGTTTTGTTTGGAGACAAGGTCTCCCAAAGCTTGGGCTAGCCCTAAACTTACTCTGTAGTTGCGGATGACTTTGAACTTCTGATCGTCATGCCTTTACTTCCTGAGTGGTAGCATCATAGACATGTGCCACCACATCCAGTTTATGCAGTGCTGGGGGTGAATGCTAGGCAAGCACTCTACCAAATAAGCTATGTCTTCAGCCTCCTGGTTTAATTTTTAAACAGCTTTATTAAGTATTAAAATTTATGTACTACAAAATTCACCCACTTACTACTCTAATCTTTGCAAAATATATTAGTTCCTGAATGACTGGGCCATGGCCAGGGATCCTTACAATAGTGTGACAGCTTTGCCCCTCATTGTCCTTGAGCCCGTGTTGAAGGCTGGGCAGCTTTGCTCTGAATTGTGGACCTTATGTCACTGTGATTAACCTCTCTAATCAGAAGATTCTGAAGAGCTGACAGTTGCTGCAGGTCTTGAAGGAGGCATTAGCATTAACCGGGAAGAACAAACAGGAAGACCAACATTCTTGTCAGGTACTCGCTGTCTCCAGGCTTCTCTCCAGAGCAGGGAATGGTGATCTCAGAGTGTTTGGCTATCTGGATAGACAGAGGTAGCATTCGCTAAGACTGTACTTCTAGAACAGTGGTCCTCAGAAGGGTTGCATATCAGATACTTTTATTACGATTCATAACAGTAGCAACATTACAGCTGTGACGTAGCAATGAATAACCTTATGATTGGGAGTCACTGCAACGTGAGGAACTGTAAGGTCACAGCATTAGGAAGGTCGAGAACTACTCTTCTAGAGGGGGAGAAGACAGGAGGCTGGTGTTGGCACGTTGAGCTTGAGGATACAAAACCCAGATGGAGAAAAGTCTAGAAGGAAGATGGATACGGTTAGGAACTTACAGTTATCTTCATCACAGACTCTCTGTGAAGTCCACTAAAACCAGTCCCTGTACTTTGTTGCTGAACTCCAAGACAGTTCAGCAGGGAGGCAAGGCCACTGCTGCAGAAGACCATCCCAAAGGCAAAGATGGTCACCACCAAATCCTGAGCGTTGATTCAGCTCAAACTCAGCTTCTGTGTCTTGGGGAGAAGGGAGAGGAAGAAACATTCTATGGGGAACCCTAGCTTTGCAAATTTAGATATTAAGCATTGAAAAGGTGTGCATGTATGTTTTGCCTTCATGTGTATGTGTACCTGCTGATACTTCAGGAGGTGGTGAGCCTCCATGTGAGTGCTGGGAATCAAACTGGTTCCTTTGTGACAAGTGCTCTTAACTAATAATAACTCTCTACCCCCAGCAGAGGTTTTCTATAAAAGGATCCTAATTCTCAAGCTACCCTCAAGCTACTTCACTGCCGGGACAGAAGTTTTGTTGGGCTCTGTCTCCATGGCGATTGTTCCACCATTCCTGACTCCTGCTGCCCAGCATGCTGGGCTTTGGGGCCAACCTTCTTACTTTTTCTATTCATTGCCCCTTCTGGTCTGAGAATTTCTTTTATGTGACACAGGGCATATATAGGTGTGACTAGCCATACAAATCCAAACTTTACTGATAAAAATTATAAAGAAATTTATTTTAAATTTAAATTTATTTTAATTATTTTAAAAATAATTCATTTAATTATTTTAAAGGAATTTATTGGAATTCATATATATGTATATATATATATATATATATTGCCATTTATTAAAGATGGAAGCAAATTCATATACTAATAAGAGGCATGTGCCTATTTTATACATGAAGAATTAAACCTTGGCTGCATATTTAATACTGCAAAACACAGAGCATCTTCAATGCCTTTAAAAGCTGATTGATACTTTGATTTTATAATTATCAATGCCAAAATGCCTCTTGGCGTAAGCATTTAATATAAAATGCTAGAAGTCTGTTTAAGGCTATCTCAGAAGTTGTTGGAGATTCTGTCCTAATCCCAAGTCAAAATTTATTTAATATTTTCATAAACCTGAAGTCAGCAAATAGGACACCAATTTTATTTATTTAATTAATTTTTTAATTTTTTTGAGACAGGATTTTTCTGTGTAGCTGTGTAGCACATGACTATCCTAATACTTGTTCCGCCTGCCTCTGCCTCCCCAGCGCTGCAGTTAAAGGCATGCACTACCACACCCAGCATTCAAACAACCATGATTCAACACTTAATATCAAACACTCTAACACAATATAGTCCAGAGATAAACTTTGAAACTTGCATGCTTGGTTGTGCTGGTAGGAAAATAATGTCTTTGTTTCCTGTTACCAAATTGCTATAAGGGCAGAAAACTGTATGTACAGCGAAACATAATGTAATTCATGCTGAATCCGAGTTAGGGTGTTTCAGATAACATCGACCAGTATTCCACGCTGTGATGACATGCAGCTACAGGGTATGTGTGTGTGTGCTTACAACCAGGGTTGCCATGAGGTCACATGATGTAACAGTCAAATGCTGTCAGCAACACCAGGGATTCATTTCAGGTTTGATTTTGAATGCTCTCTTGGCCATCACCTGTCCAGACACCCTTTGCTGTGGTCAAGCTTTCGTGGACCCTCATTCAGAGATGTTGGGGTCAAGACCCCAGTTTAAGAAGCTCTATTGAAAACTGAGTAAGATTAAATATGAAGTGAACTCCAGTTTCTCAGTCACTCACTACAACTCAGGTGCTCTATACCCCTGCAGCTGGAAGCCACCAGGTGGGATGGGCCAGTTATGGAACACTTCACTGTTCTAGAAAGTTCTACTTCACAACATTGTTCTGGGTGAAAATATGAAAAGAAGTTTACTTGTATTTCCTGGTTTGTCAACTTTAGATTATATCAACTGATACAAATCTCAAAGCCTGGTTCTTTTCATATATATCGTCATCACTTTTAGAAGCTAAAAAGTACAATACACACACAGAAAGACTTCTTTGTTATAACTGTAGACAGTGACAGCTTACCACAAATGAACAGACCGTGTCCAAGCCATCAGTGGAATGCTACCAGGAACCTAAATGCTACCTGATTTCACCAAGTCAGTAGCTGCCTGTTCTGTCTCATGCCTTCTACTACCCTGGGCTGCCTCTGCCTGTTACTAGCCTTTTCAGGCTGGCTTTTTTCATCCTTAGTAAGAGCTGAACATGAGCTCCTTTGAAATATGGTTATTAATTTCTATCATACAAGCACACTATAACTTCATTTACTGGTCCTATCTGGATGCTTCCATTGCTACTGAACCCATGTCTACAGTTATTTCTGGATTTTCTATTCTAAGCACAGGGCAGCTAAGGTCTGTTTTGTGAAGGGGTTGTGTTTGAACCTACCTGTGTGCGCGTGTCACATGTGTCTCTTTTCACTCTGCTGAATAGTGGTGACAGAAACCTGGTTTCCAGCAAAGCCTAGAATTTAGACTCTGGCTCTTTTCAGCAAGCAGCTGATCACTCCTGAATTCTTTCCTTTTTAAAATCATTCCTCAGAGCTACATCTTTTAAATTGTTGCACCTTTCTAACAAATCTTCATTCTTGGTAATGCAATTTATACATGAGTACCGTTGGGGTCCAGGGGTCCGGGAAGGAGCCTTCCAAGCTCCTTCAAGACTGCATTCGCCTGCTCTTTAACAATGTACTTGTTGAGGCCTGCACCCCCCTCACATAGCTGGAGCCATTTTGTTCCAATCCTGCCAGCTATTTCATATAGTTGCTGTAAATGCCTGCCAATCATTGACACAGAAAAATAAATTGACTCAGAAAAGTAACTTGACTCAGAGCAGGGTCATTGCGACCATATACTCTGCCTGCTATGTTCTATATGTTATGAGGTTTGTTAATCTTAAGAAATTCCACACAACTATAATCTTCACATAGAACCCATCAAATTAAAGGTCAATATGAACTGTTATGTATAAAATGGCTTGAGTCAGGGCCAACCACTGGGTAGTACTTCTAGCACCTGTATATGAGCTCATTGTGGGTTTTGTTGTTGTTGTTGTTTGTGGTTTTAACTTTTATAAGCTGGTTCTGAAAAACGTCCAGCATGTAGCTTTTAGCTCTCAAGCCTGAGCTGTTGCCCAGGTCAATCAGTCTTTAGTGTGTGCTCAATCAACCATCCCTGTCTGACTGGGATTGTTCATGTTGTTTGCAGGAAGACTCCTGGACCCCAACAGTACTCATGTATAAATTGCATTGGTATACATTGGTTATAAAAATTCTTTCATGTACGGGTCTGGAGAAAAGGCTCAGTTGTGAGGAATACTTGCAGAGGACCTGGAGTTTGGTTCCTAGTGCCCATATGATTTAGCTCAGAACTACCTGTAACTCCAGTTCCAGGTAGATCTAATGCCCTCTTCTGGCCTCTACAGGTACAGCATGCACATGTGCACATCCAGACAAGTGGGCATACACACATACACATAAACAAAAATCAACAGAAAAATTTAAATGCCTTTATACAACTTACACACATAAATAAAAATTTTAAAAGCTTTTTATGCAAATTACATATAATTTTGGGTACTTGTTTTATAAATTATTACACAGGGTAAATCTCATAATATTAAATTTTCTCCTGTAGCATTATTTTAATGGCTTTGTAGTATTTAATAATACAAATGAACTATAACATATTTAAGCAATAAGTTGTTTGGCTATGTATCTTTCTTATTTTCTTATCACCCTATTAAGTTGTAAATTGCTCCTTTAGATTGTTTTCTTTTGCTAAGTAATTCCATTTATGGGAATCAAACCAATGTAAATGATCTAAAATGAAAAAAGTACATAATAACATTTATCGCACCATTAGTTATAATCATGAAAAATTAAAACTGACCATTTAATTGACATTTGGTAAATGTCTGTTTACAGCACCTCCAAACTTGTTGAAGCAGCATGCAAATGTTTGAACCCATGGTCAAGGAGATTGGAAAATTACTACCAAGCGTTTTATATAAAATACACATGCATTCTAATGATGAATGTTAAAATATAGCCCTTAGTAAAAGACCTACAATAATATACACCAAACAGAAGACAGTTAACTCTGGAGAGTGGCGGTTGCGAGAGAGGAGAAGGAAACATACTGTCTTCTCTTTTGTCTCACTTGAATATCTCACAGAGCCTATGGCATCTCATGATAAAAACATTTGAGGATCATTTTTATAATAGACTAAACGAGGCATGAAGTGCTACGAAGGCAAAGCCCCAGGGGAAGCTCTGCCCTGAGATCAGCAGTGCTGGAGAATTGGGATTCTGCAAGTCTAGAAACAGACACTGGGCTTTAATGGGAGACTGAAACAATCAGGCTTTGCAGAGGAAGACAGCACAAGGACACAAGTCATGGAAGAGGACAGATCTCTTTTGACCAGAATAACCCCCCACTTCACCCCAGGTTCCCTAATGACCATACCCTCGGGGAAGATTCTCTAGAGACTGTAGGTCCTTAAAGGGGGTGGTCAGAGTAAATTTTTGAAGTTCTCATTTCTGAGTGTGAGCTGCAAATCAGCCTAGAGGAGACTGAATGTGCTGCTAGAAGATGCACAGCAGGGGCCTCTCCTCCTGTGAGTCTTGTGGAGACACTGGAAACTGGCCATAATCTAGCAGACAGGTAAGAGTTTTCTCTGAAAGGGACAAATACCACAATAGTTAGTCGTCTTGAGAAACGCTCATCAGGCGAGTCTTTGGACTGATGAAGAAAGGGTTATTTCCCATTCTCCACCTCCTCAACATACACTCTGCTCTGGACTTCCCCTATTGAATCTAATCTATAGCTGGCTCCAAGACCACTACTTTAGAATCAACACATTCTCTACCCTTGAGCATCAGACTTGTAACACTGTATAATTTGGATTATGGTGCCCTGCAGATTAACGCTGGGTAAGAGCTTGGTTCGTTGCAGGCCACAAAGTCTGACAAAGGATCCCATTTACCTCGGCAAGCTGCCAGCTCTTCTTTTCTTTCTTTGCCAAAAAATTAATGAAACAATTTGTTTGGAAGGTAGAGAAGCAAGCAGTGCATATTGTGGTGTTGTGGGTCAAGCTGTCTATGTTCTGACCTGTCCATAATATGCTTCCACTAGGGCTGAGGGAAGGAGACAGACTCAGGTGAGGTCTAGCATTCTTTCTGCATGCTACATCTCTTAATGTTTGCAAAGCAGCCTGCAGTTTAAGGAACACTGTCAGCCTCTATTAACAATAAAGACACTAGGATGTAGAATGGAAATTTGATTGAAGTGACATGGGGAGTGTGAATAGCAAGTGGAGGTTGGAGAAAGACTGATCTCATCCCAAAAGCATTGCTTGTCTTTCTCTTCATTATAATTTTCCTCCTTCAGTTCCTCATTCTACAGAAAGCATTTAAGTCTCAGTGATATTGTCTGAGACTGACCTGGAAGAATAATCTCCTGAGCCTGACCTGAAATAAGCTTTGATGGAACAAAACAGGGGCTACAAGTCACATCTGGATGAAGGGAACCCTCAGCCTGTGGAGCATAGTCTTATCATGCCTGTGTGCATAAGGATGTTTATACACACATCTGCTTATGTGTGAATAATTAAGCTTGTGTAAGCAGAAGGCCCGCAGTGGGTTAAATGCTTCAGAGTCACAACAGTTCTAGAACTTATAAGTGAAGCTTTCACCCAGCAGAGCACTGGGAGGGAGGCTGTGTGCCTCCACTGTCTCTGTGACCTCCCCTCCGGGTGGTGTCTTCCTGATAGACCTGTGGGCTTCTCCTGTAGTGCCACAGAAAACAGAATGAACAGGTAAGAGCTTGTTGGAACCATGGACCAAGACACAAGACTACATTAGCACTATCTCAGCTGGGCCTTTTGTTACAGCAAAGCTCAGGTGCTCTCAGGATGGTAGAGACAGGTCACTTGAGTGTGGGGACCTCTTCACCACTCCTGAATTCTCTCTTAGAAAACCCTCATTGGTTCCTGCTGTTGCCACTGTAAAGTCTTCTGGAATGCCAAACTCTGAAGACTGGTCTTGCAGAAGCAGAAATGGCTTTGAGGGAGTCTGTCACCCCAGTTAAACTTTACTAAATAGTGAGGCTAATGCAGGGAAATTCTTGTAAAGCTGTAAAGACTCACTATTAAGCCTCCATTCTGTCACCATCACACACTGTACTCTTTCTCTGAAGGGTCCCTAGCTTACCAAAGGGCATGTGATGTCTTTGTGGGGAGTGCTGGGGTCAGCATGGATATGAGGCCAGGGTGTCCATTTGTATGAGCAAGCTTTCTCTGAGTCACAGCAGAGGTTATAGTGATGACAGAATGGAGTAGGCTGGGAGCCGGGAGTGGTAGGGGTTGGGGGTAGGGGGCAGGGGCTGGAGTCCATTCCCACCTACCTTGTTCCAGCACAGTATTCTGAACAGTATTCTAAGTCTTTTAGGTTGCCACACAGGGATTTGCTGAGACGACACAGAACACACGTCCTTTAGTGGTTTGGTGATTCAAGTGATTAATTTCAAATATTTAGACAAATAGTTAAGAAAGTCTCCAACTCTTCCTACATCCTGGGGCTCCCAGACATGTTTTGGAAGTATTTGTCTTCCAGCTTCCCCTAGGCCTAGGTATGTGAGGCCCAGGATACACCACCATTCACTAACACCTTCGCAAGTGCCTTTTGTAAATAGATTGGCTTCACATTGTTCTATTTTGAGTGGACCATCTGCTTCCTGTGGGAGTCCCCCACCGATTCAGCAGGTGTTTCAGATAGAGCTGAGCTATTAACTTCCCCCACCCCAATACCTCAACACACACACACACACACACACACAATCTCTTTTAGTTATACCAGTTACAGAGACTAAGATGGAGAGATGCTCAGGGAAGTGGAATGGCTCGGAGTCACTGTGGTGGTTAAGCCAAAATTGGTGTGCCTGTGTGTGTGTGTGTGTGTGTGTGTGTGTGTAAGGAGGTGCCATCTTTGCTCCTCAGTGTTCTTGTCCTCATAGCCTAACTCCTACCTGTGCTAGGATCTGGCTGGCAGGAGCTCATCCCTGTCTTCATATGTGTGACGTCCTAGGCATCTCCTAGTCACAGAGGTGGCGCAGGCAGCAACATCTTCCCTCCAGGAAGACTACATTCCAGTTTTGTTCTGCTACCTCCCAAGACCTACAGGAAATACACTTAATATCCTGCTGTATGGTAAGCCAGCTCAGGTGAGAATCACAAATAAAAATAAATGCAACTGGGGTGCTGACCAGGCCCCCCTCTTTCAACAAATACCATTTTGTTTGTGTCAGCCATAACACCTTGGCAATTTATTTGGAAGGGATAAATTTCTGCCTGCCCTACATAATTCTCCAGCAAACCCACAATCACTCTGCTTAATCTCAGGGATTAGGTAATTCTTTGATCACTTTAAATGACAAGCAACACTCTGATTTAGAAATTAAAATGTCTAGCCTCAGACTCTAGCCTTGGTTCAGATTGTTTCTTCTTCCTCAGCACAGATTGACACTAAGGTGGGAGAAGAGCATGCCGTGGCTGGTATCCTCGCTTCATTTCCTGATGCTGTGATAAAATATTCCAACAAAAGCAACTTAAAGGAGAAAGGGTTGGGATGGATATTGTTATGTTGATAGTTAACTTAATGTTTGAAAGTTTAAAGTCTCTGTGCTTAAGAGAACTATAAAGCACAATTAGACCTTCAAATGTTAAGGGCCATTAAGGGTTAGATTTTTTTCCCCTGCAGCTTCTGTTTCTATAAACAAACGTGCTTTGCACAAGAAGACCATCTGCTTGCATGAGAACAAACTGTAACTTTGTATTCTCTGCCTTTATAAATCCCTGGCTAAGGTGACTGGGTCCTGCGTTCAGGACCAAGTCCTGGTGTGAACCTGGTGTCCATATCTGAATAAAAGCCTCTTCTTTGTTAAAATGTGTTAAGGGTCAGGCTGGTGAATTTCTGAGTAACTCCAGATGCACAACAGGGTTTATTTGGCTCACAATTCAAGGTACTTTTCATCATTGCAGGAAAATCAAGGCAGCAAGAAATGTCAGCAGCTAGTCACATGCATTAAATCCACCGCAGAGAGCAGAGAGAGATGGATTGGTGCATACATGCCCAATAAGCCCACCATCTCCACTATTCTGCCATCCAGAATCTGTTTAGAGAATAGTTCCACCCACAGAGGGTGGACATTTCCACTCAACCCGATTAGGACTATCCTTCACAGGCGTGCCCACAGAGCAGCTTAATCTAGACAAACCTTCATTGATACTCCTTTCCCAAATGGTTCTAGATTGTGTCCAGTTGACTTTAAAATAATCCACTACATCTGGTAACCCCATTTTCCCACTTGGCTTCTCCATGGTCCAAGTGGTAATGGGATAGGAGAGAAGAAGGGATTAATAATGGCTTACACGGTAAATAGTGTCCCATCTGGTGTCAGGTTCCCCAGTTCTAGTAGATGCTTGAGAGGATTTATTTTCTCTTCTGGGGTACTTACTCATATTCCTATCTTGAAGGGGCTTATAATGAATCTCTTGTGTCTGAAATTCTCTCTACCAAGAGGCAGACATCTGTTGCATAGGTAGTGTTAGAGATTGGGTATTATATGTTTACCCCCAGGCTCTTGAATTTGAACACTGGTCTCTAGCTGGTCTCTCTCTTTGGGGGGTGTTGTGGGAGCTGGCTGATGGAAGTGGGTCACCGGGTCACTGGGTCACTGGGGATGGACCTTTGAGTGCTTATAGCCAGACCTTGCTTCTGATCCTCTCTTTGCTCCCTGGTCAGCTGCTGATGTTACTGTTTGGTTGGAATCCCTGCTTATTCCCTACATAGGCTAAGAAACTCCATTTGCTCTTCTTCCCCCCAATCCTGCCTACAGGGAGAAAATCATCTTTCCCCGTCTCCACATTTCCGGTTACCCACTCATAAGTGCCCACGCAGGAGCTCAGCTTTTTTACCTTATATGGACATAATCCCAGCTGCTAGCTCACATGTGATCACCCTGTGCCTCAAACCCATAGAACCCCCTTGCTTTACCCTGGGAGTATGACTTCCCTGACCCCCATCTGTGAGATCAGTGAGGTCACCCTAGAATTTTGTCTCAGTAAACCTGCCTTTACTTATACTTTATACTTCTGATTTGGCTACATTCGGTTCATTTTGTCAGTGGAGAAAACTACTAGTGACAAGTTGGCTTACGCTCCAGCCCACAAGGACTGAGCCACCTCTTGCCATTGTCTTCCAACTATGATGGACCTTGTGAAGCTGTAAACCAGGACAAATTCTTCCTCCCCCAGGTAGCTCTGTCAGGAGAGCTGCCATGACATTGAGAAAAGCAACTAACACAGATAGCAAACTCCTTGGCCCCTGGTCAGTCATTATGACCCTAGGGTCTCCTGCAGTGTGACCTCCATGTGCTCCATGAGAAAGTAGGAATCCTTTTCAAGAAAATCCATAGCAAGGCAAGAAACCTGAAGGCAAGGCATGGCCATAATCCCTGGAAAACAGGAGATTGTGTTCTCACGCTTTGATCCTGCTCATTTCCATGGGGTGCCTTCATGCACAGACATGTGCATGTATAGGCGTATGTTTAGAATGTGTGTTATATACACAAATACACACAAGGTATGTGTGTGTGTGTGTGTGTGTGTGTATGTGTGTGGTTGTGTGTGTGTGTATGTGTCTGACTGTTTGTCTGTCTGTTTGTCTACTGGAGCTCATTAAGATCTCTAGGTAAGCCTGGAGGAAGCCCTGTTTGCCGCCATTGTTGGGAAGGAGAAGAACAAGACTGGGCAGATCTAGGCTCTGAATGGTCAGCACAGTCACAGCTGAAGGGCTGGGCCGATTCTTGGTTCTGGACCGTGGGTGGTCTTTCAAGGTTGTCCAAATGGCAACCTGTGGCTAGGCCTTTACTTCCTTTCACTGACTGCTCACTAAAGGAGAAGCCTAACTTCAGAGAAGTATGCTTTGAAAGAGTGGCAGCCTGGGCCTCTCAGTCCTGGCAGGTAGGTCCCTGGCAGCATGGTACAGAATCCACCACAGAGATGGGCACAGCAGCCAGGAAAGCTTTTATGCTCCATATGACTCACATGCTCTGAGTATGAATTCTTGTTTTACCACCTGTTGGCTAATTTCCTGATCTACAAAATAGTGAAAAATGCTGTTATCTACCTCAAATTTCCTGTCAAGAATTTAATGAGTCAACCTATGTGAAACATTTGAGCAAGTAGCATGCCCCTTGTATAGAAAATTTTAGTTGCTAACACTATGCTAGCTTGTGTATTTTCCATAGCTGCGAACACTATGCTAGCTTATGTATTTTCCAGTCTAAACATAAATCTGCTATTGTGTCTTTCCTGTTTATAGGTCATATTCTGTGTTTATCCTAACCCTCTGAGAAATGAGGAGGAGGAGTCTAGGTCTTGCATTTGATTTGCAATTAACACAGTATAGAGAATAGATTAGACACTCTCCGGAAATCCTGTTGATGTCTGCATGTTTGGAGGCTGTCTTAGTTCAGGTTTCTATTGATGTAAAGAGACACCATGACCATGGCAACTCTTATAAAGAAAAAGCATTTGGTTAGGCTGGCTTACAGGTTCAGAGGTTTAGCCTGTTATCTTCATGATGGGGAGGCATGACAGTGGACAGGAAGGCATGGGACTGGAGAAGGAGACAGTCTACATCTGGATTGGAAGGCAACAGGAAGAGAGAATGATATTGGGCCTGGCTTGAGCATTTGAAACCCCAAACCCCACCTCCATTGACACGATTCCCCCAATAAGGCCTCACCTATTCCAACAAGGTCACACCTGCTCGGAGTGCCATTCCCTATGAGCCTGCGGCGGGGGGGGGGGGGGGGGGGGGCATTTTCATTCAAACCATCACAGAGCATCCGAGGAGGCTAGTTATGATGACTCTGACCTGCCTCCTAGCTGGGCCCTGGATTGGGAAGATTCTGAAGGTGAAGCATACATAAGACAATATGGTAAGCATTGTTTGACAAATGATAGTGACATATTTACAACCATTGCTGTCAAATGTGACTCCTGAGCAAAGCCAATGATATTGTATTATTTTTTAAAAAAGAAAATTCTCTGTTTCTCCTGTAGAACCCACCAGGAGGCTAAATGATACAGAAGAGACAGTGACAGCCTGCTATGTTCCTGACCCCATTATGCAGCCAATGCATGAATAACGTCTCCTTTGAAAACAAACAGCTATTCATCAAGTTGTCCCTCACTAGGATAGTATAATTATCTCCCTGAAGTTATGAATGAAATTATAGGTTCTTGACAAAAAGAGCATGATGCTCAGATGGGTTTGGCTGTGTCCCTTGGCTCTTAGACAGAGGCTGGGCCCGCCTTTGTTAGATGCTTGTGCCAGTAAGCACTCTTATTTATGTGTGTGTATATGGCGCAGGTGCATGGGTGCCTGTGGAGACCTTGCATCAGAACTTACAGGAAATTGTGAGTCACCTGACCTGGATTTCAAGAACTAAACTCAGATCCTCT